GCCCCCCACTTTTTTTTTTGCTATTTGTTTCTCATTAAAATTAAAAAAATCTAAAAAGAAAAAAGTAAATTTATAAGACATAAAGACAGAAAAAAATTAGAAATAGAAGATAAAATAATTAAGCATTAACTGATCCTTCCCACAAACCAGCAGAAATTCACAGTACAATTATCCAAACCATCCTGCTTATATACATAGATACATCTCTTTTCTCCACTCACTCTCCTGTCCTCCTCATCTCATTAATTCCTTTCTTTTGAACAGGTTCATTCCCTTTTCACGGTATCTATTTTACTCTTCAGATTTTATTTACTCTTTCAGATTCTTACACAAAGGAGACAATATGATGTTTGCACATGCAGGTCTGATTTATTTCACTTAAGAGAGTGGTCTCTAGTTGCATCCACTTACTGATAAAAGTCTCAAATTTATCCTCTTTTTATAGTTGAATAATTCTCCGTTGTGTAAAGATACCACATCTGCAGGGAGATGGCTCAGTAGGATAAGCGCTTGACTGGCAAACACAAGGATCTGAGTTCAATCCCCGGTTCCTCAAAAAAAAAAAAAAAAGATGGGCTGGTGAGATGGCTCAGTGGTCTACAGCACCTACTTAGAATAAGCTAAGCAAAGCACAGGGACTGTGGTTCGTTCAATCCCCCGGCACCACATGCCGGCCAGCCCTGCCCCCTGGTGGGCTGAGCTAGCCACACACACACACACACACACACAATAAATAAATAAATAAATTAATTAATTAAAAAAAAAGATACCACATCTTCAACTATTCCTCAGTTGATGGCTTTTGGGGTATTTCTACGATTTAGCAATGGCTAATTGTACTGCTGTAAACATGGGTGCACATAAATCGCTGTGCTATGATGTCTTCAGTTCTTCTGGAAAAATACCTAGGAGAGGAACAGCTGGGTTGAATGGGACCTCCAATCCTAGCTTTTTGAAGAATTTCTACATTGATTTCTATAGTGGTTGTACCAGTCTGCACTCCCACCAACAGTAGAAAAGGTTACTTTTTCCCCACAGCCTGTCCAGAATTTGTTATTGGCTGATTTCTTGATGATAGCCATTCTTTTGGGGATGAGATGGAATCTTAGCACTGTTTTAATATGCATTTCTCGAATGACCAATGATGTTGAACATTTCATCATATATTTACTTGCCATTTGTATTTCTTCCTCTGTGAAGTGTATATTCATCTCAGATGCCCAGTTTTGGATTGGGTCTTTGAATTTTGAAGTCTTTACACATTCTAGATAGAAGGCCTTTGTCAGAAGGGCAATTTGCTATCATTTTTTCCATTTGTGGGTTTTCTTTTCATTCTGTTGATGATTTCTTTCTTTTCTTTCTTTTTTTCTTTCTTTTTTTTTTTTT